AGTTATTATAGTATTAAAAGTATGCATATACTTATTTATACAGCATTTATATTATAGTAAAAAAAATCACGAATTTAATAATAAATTATCGAAATATTTAGATTAATAATAAAAAATTTTTATTAATTGTCGATATAATGTTATTGTTCTTTAATTATCCCCGGGATCTCTTGATGGTCACGAAAATTTGCTCCGGGCCGATGGTCTTTAATATAGTATCTCGCACCGACGAGATTTTTAATTAATTATTATTAATTAAAATATTATAAATTAATTGAATTAATTATTATATATTAGTTATTATCTTTGGTACAATATATATTTTATTATATTTTTCAAAATTTGTTAAAATATAAAATTGTAGAATATAATTTAATTATGTGTTCATAGATTCACAATATTTTAAAAATTACATAAAAAGTTTAAAATATATAAAGATCGAATAAATACTAAATTCAGATTGTTCAGCTTTTATTGGATATAATTGATACTAGACTTTAAATAAACATGAAAATGTTCTCAATAATTAAATATGTATATATTTTCAATTTGATCCATTATTTTTTTTTATTAAGAATACAAAATATGACGCGAATGACGGAATTCAGCAAAAGTAACGAAAAGTAGGACATCAACCTTTTATTAAAATATTGTGTATACTGCGCGGATTTTGTGTAATATAAAATTATTACAAATAATCACTAATAATCACTTATTATAATACAATTGAACTAAGATATTCAGCTGTGCATAATGCATAATGCATGTAAGAAATAAAGCAAAAACCGTGTGTACACTGCGCGGATTTTGTGTAATATAAAATTATTACAAATAATCACTAATAATCACTTATTATAATACAATTGAACTAAGATATTCAGCTGTGCATAATGCATAATGCATGTAAGAAATAAAGCAAAAACCGTGCAAAAATACAAAGAATATATTATTTTACTTATTTAGTAATATGCGCGTTAATATTTCGGCGGTTAGACGGTTGACGCGCGGCTTTGAGACTTTGGGAGTTTGTTTTGCCGCGGAAGGAAGGGTAGACGACGCGTCATGATTACGCACAATTACCGCGCAGTCATTCCACTACCGAGATTCATGCAAGTAGATAGCCGTGCCGCTCTTCTTCGCGTTTCTCTTTGAAACGTACTTACAAATACTAGGTAATACAAAATGCCGTACTTTTAAAAAATTCTTATTTAAAATATTAAATAAGAAATAAGACAGAAAAAGTTTTTTAAAATAATTTAAATACAATTTATCTGTTATTCCTTTCCCGGAATATGAATGCAAAATAAGACATAAATAACAATTAAATAAAATCAAAGTAACAAAAAGTCACAATGCATCAATCTTTTGTTAAAAGTATTGCGTACATGTATGTATATTGCGCGGATTTCGTGTAACAATAAATTAATACAAACTAATAATTGCTTATTGTAACACAATTTGAAATATCTAAAAGATGAATTGTGTGCATAACGAATGTAAGAAGTAAGACAAAAGACGTGCAATAAAGCCTATTAATCGGAGAATAAAAATGTAACAAATGAATTATTTTACTTATTTTGTAATACGCATTAATATTTTTACAATAAGATGATCGGCGCGCGGCCTTGAGGTTTGTTTTGGCGCGAAAGGGCAGGCGGCATTGGGTGGCACGGAGAGGCGCGGAGTGGCACGGGATGGCGCGGCGCGTCACGTTAATGCGAAGTTACTGCGTAGTCATTTCTTTACCGAGGCTCGTACAGGTAGGTAGCTGTGCCGCGTGCCGCTCTTCTTCACTTTTCTTTTTGAAACGTTATCGCGAAGAATGCTAAATATAATACGTAGTATTTTATGAATACTCACAGAATACACGATTATTAACTTGCATGATTAATTATTTATAAAAGAATCGACCTAACAATGATAGTCTATCATGGAACACATATATTTCGTACGATTTATTCGTTTGCAATCAAAACGCGATGGAAAAGAACTTATTACCATTTCGCGATAATTATGGACCACAATTATTTTATTTTTGTTTAACATAAAATTTTTCTCTTGCTTGAGTAATTCTTGATTATATTTCGAACGGTATTACAAAAATTATAAAAAAGCAATGTTAATAAATATTCTCTAAATATAAATAACACAATTTATGCGATTTTTACTTTCACAATTAATATATTTTTCGTAATTAATAATTTAATTAATTTTTCGTTTTCGTTCATCTTTTGTGATATAATAACAAATTAAGCGTAACTTTGGAACTATTTATCGATAATAAAAGACACATTCCTCTTTTTTTATTAATGTATAGCTCATTTTATTGATTTTGTTATCTTACAGACATCGTAATAAGAGATTTAGCCCTTTCATTTTTAAAAATTAACCGACAATTGAACAGTAATATAAATAATAGTATATTATATTTTTTTCAGATGATCTTCCTCTCACGGGTACGACCTCGACGTAATGAAAGAACTCAATACTCAGAGAATATATATGAAAAAAACGGTTTTTTTGTTAAATATCTAAACATTTTCAGATCTATTTGAATATCTAGGTAAATTTTTAGATATTTGAGTAAAATCGTTTTCTTCATGTAAAAATCCAACGATGGAAACCCTCGCCGATTAAATTGAAAACGAACCGCAGTTCGTCGCGTCGCGCGTTTGCTTCGAGAGTGTCGTTGAAGTTATCGGACTAATAGACTTTTTATAAAATCCATTTGATGGAATTCTAGTTCGACGTGAAAGACTTTTCTAAATAATTAGTCCGCGCGCGATTATAATGTATTATTCGCGAATGTTTTATGTGAGTGTCCTATGCGAGAAGATATCAACCCAATTCTGAGAGGAGGAAGAGGTCTGGGAGAGACATCGGGCAGCCGGCGGAGCAGCCTTGCGGTAAATATCATTTTTTGCTTATGTAAAATCAGTATCTTTTTTTTGTTTATTCTTGAGTTACTTTATTTTACAATGACTTAAAAATGATGATTAGAAAAAAAGAATTATTTTAAAATTATTTTGAAATTTTATAAATATGATTTTCAAAATCTTTTTTAGAAAATGTTCGAGAAAAAATGTTTCATATATAATTATATA